TTGCCTGACTAATACCTAGCCTTTAAAAGAAAACTTACTTTCTGAATGATCTCGATGGTTTGCTCGGATCTGTGTGCTGACAATAGACTATATTCAGTCTCGTTGTGTGTTGAAGCAGAACTAATCTCCCTCCCTGACCAGGATATTTGCGTTACAAGATCCGCTAGCTAACCTGAAAGCCATGCTGTCTCTCGACAAATAGATTTATTTCAAACCCTGTATTGCACGGCTGAACTGCTATATCAAAACGAGGCCTTAATCTTTCTTTCATAGATCGTATATCTTATGAATCAACTAATAGAACAAAATCTCTCTTGAATGGCTTTCCGAAATATCGAATACCACATCACATGTACAAACACTGTATAATAAACTTCATACAGACGTGCAGTTTTTGAAAAACTCTAGTTACCAGTTTGTCTTGATAGGAGAAGCTTCATGGCAGTCGCATCGCTACATCAGGAATAACTACAGTAGACGGGCAGACTCATCTGGATTACATGGTGTTGGATATATTTGTCATAATCAAATAATAATTTATAAAATCATGTTTTATTATACGACCAATGTCGGATCCAAGTTAAATGAAAATTAACTATATATATATAAAATTGACTACTTCTAAATGTCCCTCTTTAATGTTTCGGATATTCTTGTCTGTTTTACTTCAGCTCATAGGCAACAATTTACGCGAGCAGATCATACACCGACATAAACTTATAGGCGATGCTTGCTATGACTATCGTTACCGTTAAATAGTCAGCTCACCCTCACGCGGCACATTGTGCTCTACTTGCTTTCAGCAAAAGCCAGACTACCTATGCTGCGGGCTTCTCCGCGGTTGGGAAAGCATTACTTGGTAGAACATTGGTTATGCAGTAAAAAAAAAACACACATTTCTCATAATAGGCGAAAGATGCGAAGTTCCGTCGATGATTGTATAAAACTAAATTAAAATTATGGTGATTTTTGTAAATAAAGGTTAGCTTACTTTTAGCTTCCAACAGAGACGCTACTTCCACGCACACAGCGTACTTTCTTTCACCGGCTATTTCTTTTTTTATTTTCACTGGTGAAGTCCAAAAAAACAACGAAAAGTCAACCATTATATGATCGCAGCAAGTAGTATCAGGGGCAGCGAGCAAGTGTACTCTCATAGCCCAAATAACCTAACCAATTTCTCAAATAGAGTTTTATTTTGTAGTCTAAACGCCCGGTGCTTGATGAAGAAGTTTGTAACAGTCTGAGAATTGCTGGTGTGCGAAATCTGCACAATGTTTACTAAATGACGGACTAGCAAATGTTAACTCAAAGGAACAAGTTCGCTTTTAAAGGGTACGGATAAATAACAGAGCATGTCCAGTAGGAAAAATCATCTCTGACGTCACATATTTTGCGTCCAAGGCTAAACCGTTATCTCTCAACACCAGTAGTAGTTTGTAGAATTGAGTTCCATATTGCCATTGCAATTCTTAGAGAGGCTCCGCCAAATGTCGACGGAGCTGGTCGGCGGGCGGCAGGGTAGCAAAGCTGTGGATGCAGCGAGAGAAAGAATGAAGCGGTTCATATGTTACGCGCCGTTGCTCGCCGTGAATGGTAAGAAGTCCCGTGAAGGGAAGCTTCTGCTGCAGCTGCTGCTGCTGCAACTGGTAGCGGGATTGCCGCTACCAACGAAGGTAAAGTAGTAGGCCTCTGGCCTGCGTTAGGAAGAAGGGCCGATATGGGCAGAGTAGACTTTGACTTGCCAGCAGGTGGCTTGCCGGTGGCGTAACAAAACCGACTGCTTGTGAAAAGTGAAAGCCATTGAATAGGAAGGACTGTCGACTCCATTGCTTCAATCTCTCTAATGCGTAGGTTATCTTTTCGTCACATCCGTTCAACTCGACAGCGTGCGCTGTTTGCCTTCATCGGACTTTTCAGCGGGCAGTCAGACTATTTCTACATCTACGTCGGGACTAGGAAGCTAGTTGGATACCCCGCCAGCAGATGGATAGACCATAGGGGAGATAGATAGCCTCTGGATGTGGATATACTGAGAGAGCGACCTGACTTTGAATGGACCGCCGCGTACGAAATGACGCGGCGGTCTATTCAGCCTCTTCGAGCTTGATATATACAAACGGATATCATACACCTTGCACCCTTGTAGGTATAGTAATAATAATAAATAAAAGAAAAGTCATCACTGTATTTCTACTATGTATGTGTATTTGTTTATACAGGCATGTATCTAATGTAGAAGGAATCTATATCGTATTTAGAGGAACATGCGGTTTCTAAGAAAACGAGCCTATAATAGAAGATAAACAAAATAATATGACAACATAAATATCCTCTTGATTTTGGTCCAGCTGCTGGTCAGAATGCAGTTTAGCGACCTCAAGCCGATCTTTTAATTTACGTATCTGTCTTTAACGAGTAGATGCTTTATTTGATCTTGTCTTAACTCTCGAACAAAATGCTAGTAGTGCTCCATTATCCGCAATTTTGCACCAAACTTAGACAACCGTCAATGCGGAAGGGGAGGTCACACTGGTCATCCTAATTAGCGATGGGAGAACAGCCGATATATTAGATATGACCGTCTATATTAGTATCCTTACTAGCATTATTGGCCTGATCAAGAAGGGCCAACGTATTGGCTTTCACAGTGAAGCAACGATGCAGAAGCAGCCTAAAATCAAGCAATAGAGCCCTAACATAAACCGATAAAATCCAAAATACCCACCACTAACCTACGATACACTATTAACGAAAACGTTCTATATTACATCTCGTCGATTGCGAAGCCGGCCTACATGCAGTACTTGTTTATGCTTCGACAATAGTATTTCGTAAAGTCATTAAAGAATTAGGCTTTGCACGGAAATTAGCAGCTTTCAAAAAGACTTGCTAAAGTGTAGGAGTGTCGAGCGTCGAGCTGCTAGATGGCCGCGTTCACCCTTGTTTTGACCGCTGTATCTCCTTTTGATGAAGGGAGATCACCATGGCTACTACATTCCTCTACTATTCCATTCCTCTCGGAAGAGCTACCAAGCTCCTCCAAGAGGAATGGAGCTGCGCGGGTCTCCAGATGTACATCTTTTTTTGATCTCAGTAAAAACTATGATCGGTATCATAGCTGACGTTTCGGTCTTACAATTACGACACACGTATACCAAGCCGATCTGGACATGGGAAGGATATTTGGCGCTTACATTTGAACTGTCGATATTGCATCTGGATCAGTAGTTGCTTTGCCGATGGCCAATGTGGCGGCCTTTGTAGGAGAAACCAACCCTTTTGATCGCTAGTAATAGGGTATGAACGTTATGCTTCGAGCAAGATTTGCGGTTCAAATCTATACCGTTATCACCATTACAGATGGAAGTATAATGAAATTTATATATGATTGTTTTCACGTTTAAGGAAGTTGGACTACAGCGGAGGAGCTAGGATTTGTATAGAGCAGTTAATGAAAAAAATAGAACTGTCGAAAACCTCGTCGTTATATCCTTATTTTTTTTATTCAATCTACATTCTTGCATGCAATGCTTTGCTCAGCGTTGTAAGTGTGCAGGCTCGTAAGCTGATATGACCTTAATTTAGAGGAGATTTTTTCGGGAAAATGAGACGAACGTTATTATAATAATTGTTATAATATGGTGCTTCCCCAAAAGACTAATATTTGGATTAAAGTTTATGTTAAGGTTAGTTTTATGTAGGTTGCCGGACAGCCCCAGTAGGATATGACAAGTCAACCGGTCTTAATTAGAATACGAGATAATTGATATAGGGTAATCTTATTGCCAAAAATATGTGGTCAAATTGCTAAAAGAAGACTAACATAAGACTGTAATGGGGTAACAGCGGTAGCGCCATGAGGTGATAGAGCTGTTACTGCCATAAATTTGGATCCAGACACCGGATTAAAGCAAGATAGTCTGAACCCGCTTTAGGGCAGATTGGAAAGAGTGATAGGATAGGACGACAAAATGTCATAGCAGAAAAGGTAGCCATGTGTTTATCGTCCTACCTATTCGTCGACAAAATTAGGCGAACGTTGTACATGCCGTTGTTTACCATGTAGGTTGCGTCGCAACACCTACTCGGTTCACATATAAAACTGGTAGTAATAAAGGTAAATAGGAATGCCAAGGTCGCATTCTTTTTACCGTACCATAGCCAAGTTTGCGCAAATAAGGTCAGGTCTGACACTTTCGTTTCATGGATTCGGATAGAGGTACAGATAGATGAAAAAAGATCTTTCCAATTATTGCTTTATGTGAATTAGATACTTTTTCAAGGGCAAGAACACTTAAAGCTTGAACAGTCAAAAAAGTACTAAAGTCCCTCCTTTCTCATCGCAGAAGCAAGTTACAATTCGTTTGTTTTATATATATATATATATATATATATATATATATATATATATATATATATATATACACACACACACTGTAACAGGGATAGCTAAGTTGACAAGGAAACTTGAATAATTTTCTAGAGTTTCGCGAGATTGAGAGTTTTTGCATTGTTTGCGCCTAGGATGCCAAACAAATATTAATAGAAAAATTGAATTTGGCTTTTCGAATAACCCATAACGACGTCAGTGAACGTAAAACGTATAATCTAATATATAATTAATATATAACTCAGTTTTTGAAAACTCTTCTAAACTCAATGGTGGTGAAATCGGCACCACCGTCAAGTAATCCTGTCTAAAAATTATACCAACATCGTCAAAACCATGATGCTATTGATAAATCTAACGAAAAGAATGAGCCTTGTTGTTAGGCATCAAGCGACTTCTTTCCTGAAATATATGTACTTGTCAGACTAGTTACCACGAGGGGACTAGTTACTCTCTAGGGCCCCGAGAGACTATCGAGATTTGATCGTTACACCTGTGCTCAAACATTGCGATTAAATTTGATTATATGAAAAATGGGACACGTTTGAGTTTTATTGAAACTGATTTAGAATTGTAAAAAATGTTAATTGCCAACAATTACTTGCAGGTGTGGGATCTGTTGTAGATGGCCTGAAAAAGCGTGATTAGCAAAAGACGATTCGTAGCGGGGAGCAAGGCGGTAGAACGAAATCGAGGGTGAAACGAAGATTACGGCCGCGGGGCAAAATGCCTCGAGAGCGAAAAACATCGACGAGCCATCTATTCAAATCGATCGGAAGGAAGCTAGCTAGCTCACCAGTCAGTCGCACTCACCGACGACGAGTACACCAAAGCAGCTTTTACTTCATCTCGCTTAGTTCTCTTCTTGAAGACGGCCGTTTCTATGAAATGGGTTTTTTTTCCTGGGCACAGCGTTGATTTGGGGTGCAAACTTCAAACGTAGTTTGAGTGTCGAAAGCTCATAGCTGAAATAGCAGACGGCTGACAACAAACCCAATACGGTAATGCATCAACACTAAAATAAGGACTAATAACACTAATATTTACATACAGGACTCTAGAGAAAAAAAAAAAAAAACTCACCTAATACATTGTCAGCATGGCAATTAAATGTTAACGTTGTTTCAAAAGAAACGCATTTTTGGTTATTTAACTAAGTTGAATCATAGGATCTTATTATTCCCGTAGTGCTTAGCCTGAATGCCATTAATTCGAGCAACTACCAAGGAAATTATGGCGTCCAGTGATAAATCACCGTGGGCCTAGGAAAGTTCAACTGTTGACCTGCTCGGGCAATCAATTTAAGCCTGTGTCTGGTCTAGGAAGTATCGTGTTAGATACAAAAATGCTGAATTAGCAATTTTTTCAAGACAGCGGTTGTTACCGTACTTAGTGGAATACTAAGTTGTGAACTAGGATAGGCAAATTTGGCACATGCATGTATAGGTTAGAGTGAGAGCCACATAAGACAGCAGAAGGATCATTTGTTGTTCCGAGTAGACGGCTGCAGCTGTGAGCCAAAGGCTCCCAGAAGTTGAATTTTTTTGGCGTACTTTGTCTAGTATGAAGTTAAGTGTGCTTATCGAAAGGCGAAAAACGTAACGTTCGTAACAAGACCACCTGGACTTAAGCAACTATATTTACGTAGCGTTGACGTTAATGAATGCTCAGTAGCTCAAATTCTAAAACTGTTGAGGACACAGTTTTCGAAACGAATGGATCAGATGGTAAAATTTTATTCGGCTTTTTTTTAGCGCACGAGTCATAGTGAGCTTCACGTACAGCATGACCTGTATAGTACAATGGAACTGAAACAGAGTCTTACTTGTACGCTGGTTCATAAAATCCGTTTGATTGTTTGCTAAGTTGCAAAAGCAACAAGGTCGAAGGTCACCAACCTTCATGCTTTATTGCAACAACAGCTTGTTCAGTTGGAAATTTAGGAAAACCCGACTGGCTAGTGACGGAATAAACGCTGACTTCGTTAAAATAAAAGGACGTTCGAGCAAACGTAGCCGCCCATAGTTATTTTAAAACTCACGATCGTATGCAAGGAATCCGTCTAAGCTATGCTTATTAATACAAGAAGCTAACTTGAAGAGTCAATTATAATATAAAAATGCACCGGATACGGTAAAGGTGCAACGTATATCGATATTATTTTGGTCATAACATTTCTAACCAGGCAATTTCAAAGGATCACATTTGTACAACAAGAAGAGAACTTTTCTATTATTTTTTCACTAGGTTTTTTTGACCTCTTATATCAACAGTTATACCTTCTACCTATTGAGGCAGGCCTTGTCACGATGGTCAAACAGATGCTATCGTTAAGTGAATAAAAGCCGGCATCGAAAATGTGTTCATTACCGTTAAATTCTAAGCGAACGCATAAAAAAACTATGAAGGCCAAACTGAAGGCAATCACCACCTGATCAGGAATGGAAGGGGCAGACAAATGGTAATGAATTCAGTGTAGGGACAGAGATATTATTCAGCCTTTGCATGTTTATACCTAAATGTGACATACCTAAGATTGTAGATTTTGCAAGCCGTTGTCTTGAGCCGATTGTAGTGATAGTATGTTGGGTTCCCTATTCATTGTAGGTGACGTTTACTTGACTATGCGAAGGCACGTCACGTACGCCGAAGTTCCGCGAGAGACCCAAGTTTTATGTCAGGTGTAGCTGGCCTATGTGCATTAATCTAAGGCTCCTGCGATATTGGGTTCTTCAAGCGCGCGTACATTAGCTCTGCTTTTTTGATTTATATGGTTATTTTAGACAGCGGAAGTGCGAGACCCACAACAGGTATGCTTGGTCATTGAGGGGTCAGACAGAGCCGGTCAGTGTAGCTGATAAACTAAAAAAAAGGGGCGTCGAAGAATAACGTGCTCGATAGGGATTTGCCTTTCTATGTCAGTCTTACACTGAATTTTTACATAACGTTTGATGAGATTAAGGCATCTTTTATCTCATACCGCCGTGATATACTTATAGAAATTAGGTCAGTTTAAATAAAAGGTAATAAAAATATTCGCGTGGGCCGAATGGGCTAAACAAGGGGAACATAACTCTGTTGTTAAAAAATCAATTAGCTTCAAAGTATTTTTGACTCTGGGCTGGGGTGAGACCTTTAGGGCTTGTTAATTATAGGGCTTTTCCTAATTTTTCAATTTTACGTTATTATTGCTTCCGATTGAGGCATATAGCTCTCATAGAGTCGAATAGGCCAATCCACTAGTTCAGATGCCATGCTCAAGTACCAGCATAGCGTTCTGTAAGTCTCACCACAATTTGAAAAGTCGAGATATATAGGAAATTTCAGGTGGATCTGAGCATGGATTTTAACGAAGGTTAGCAAATAGAGCGTTTTGCTTAGGTGAGCTAAAGCTTCTGGTTACCCAAACACAGATACGTTTATTTTTTAAAGGAACCCATTGAAGCGTTACGTAAATGCGAATTCATCAGGCGATTGAACTATGATAGTATATTAAACTCGTAACTTAGTATACGAAGCGGACAGTAATGTCGTTACAGGCTGTCCAAAAGATTTGGTATCGGAGAGCTTCTTCTTCTTCTTTTCTTCAGGTCCTGTTCGTGATTTGCGCTAAGAATGCTGAAACATTATGGAGCCCAGATACCGCTGCCGACACCTGAAGTAATAATAGCTCACCAACAGACCTTCCATTTAGCTTAGAGGGCTGCATTGTAAAAATGACTGCGTGCAACGATTATGCAGCACTGTTACTTTCTCGACAAAGCTTTTATCATTGTCACCTAAATAATAATCAATTGGTAAAGAGCCGCCAGGATACAGTTTATCAATCTTATCTTAGCCAAAGTGTATCTCGGTACTAACATACAGTAATCTTGTAAACCTTATTGTGTGTCAAATTATCAAATAACGCAAATAAATATCAAATAAATAATGCTATTGAAACTTGAATTTTACGCCAGGGTAAATCACTTACGTCTCAATAAAATTAACAACAATTTAGTTTTTCGTAAATTTAGATTTTAGAAAGCTCTCGATTATCGTCATTATCATTCCATTTCCAGTTTTGGATGTAAAACTCGAGACGTGAACTTATAACATTAGGCACGCTTAACTAAAATTACCTGACGTACTTACTCACCTGATGCGACGTTTCGTTGTTAGTGGAACACCGGCCTTCTCTAAATTCCAACGCGATGGCTCTACCTCAGCTGGTGACCTATCGGCAGAGGAAGCCAATGTACTCGCCACAAATACAAAAAACCTTGAACGTTAAAGAGTGCAATAATTTCAATCAGTTTATTAGAAAGTTACTTCCTGATGTTTACATCGACGAAAGCCGCAGTCTTTCACCATATATTTATAAAAGAATTGTTTTTAGGAATACCATTTAATGGGAATGAACATGACAATAGAGAGGTTACAATGCAGTTAATCGGACTAATCAAACGGCGCTTTCTAAAAGGTGAAACTTACCGCCAGTTTCCAAATGTTAATCCTCTTGGCACCTCACATTCAATCTTGCTTCTCAAACGGGCTCCAAGTTACCGAGCGCATAAGTGCGCAACTACAACGCTGTATGGCTTAATTTAGGTAAGGCCTTGTCATCTAAGAAGTCGTGGGACTTTTGCTATTTCGAGCCTTAAAGGGCAACCAAAACCAATGTGCCTGCGATCGACTGTCCCGAAATATTCGACAAATAATTCTGGACTTGAAAGAATCACGGAAACTGTATTAATGGGTTGCCAAGAAAGGGGTGGTCAGAGAATTCTTTTTAAAACATTATCTAGCTTCGCATAACTCTCCTGCCGTAATTCAATTCTAACTAGCGAAACACACAGAGAATACGGGTCTTAGGGAGAAATCTGCTTATCACTGCTGGTGAAATGAGTTTGCGAACGCCCAATTGATTTTTTTTGTTTCATCGAAAAGTTGGCCCACCGGTTCGCTTTTGTTAGCCGAACTTTCTTTAAGGGGTTTATGCCCTGTATTTTGCAAGAGTCGAATAAATTGCTCTGGACTGGGAGTTTACATTACTTAATCTGTACACTTTCAATTTAGTGGGCAGGCCACTGATTTTTTTTTATATGTGTGCGAATTTTATGTAGAATGTCTGGTGCACGTGTTTAAATTAACGGCTCGATTACAATCGCCGACGATCTATATCTGCCGAGAGCAGAACGAATCTCATTGTTCTACATTGCCGATTACAAAGTGCTTTCAAGGGGAGCAGGGGGATTTACTGATGATTTTTTTAAACCCGAGAAAGAGACTACTAGCGCTTAACGTATTATAGCTATTCACGTTGATCTCTTACGAGTCGTTAAAGAAGTGGAATGTTTTCTGCAGTTTTGTTATTTATGTCAGTGGTTTCCCTGCTATACGAGCATACGTTATACAAGAATACATACGTATAGCTCTCCTGACAAACGGAGGGATACCAACCAAATGTGCCAATATTCTCGGAAATCTCAGATGGTTCAGCTCGATTCCCCTTCAGACACAGAGTCAGAAGAAAGTCGGCCTTCTGTTGTGACCCTATGATGTAAAGGTGTCCGTGTATAAGCCAGGAGCACGGCGAATGGGTAGGGTGACGAGCAGGCTGACTTGCATGTTGGAGACGGCAACAGCAGATGAGAAGAGGCGCCTCGATGCGTCGCAGCTTTTGTTATTGAGGTCACAGCAGTCGTCGGGGGAGGCTTTTCGGGGCGGAGGAAGTGTGGGGGGACAGGGCCCGAGGAGGTAGCTGCAAGGTGAAACTGCATTGGGATATTGAGAATCGACGAGAGTGCTAGCTTCCCGTCAGCCGCTCAAACTGATGTTGGTGGCGGCTTAAGCTGGAATGTGACAATACCGGAGTGCAGGACGTTGATGCGGGACAAAACGGGCCCCTATGTGAGCCCGCCTTCAGGCAAGTTGCAAAAATAGAAGGAACTCAACAGTGCCAACAGCGGCGAAGCTGCCATTGCACTGCTGTCGAAAGAAACCTGCTGCTAGCGAAGCTGGGTGAGGTGTCCGAACGACGAACTACTGGCGGCGGACGTCTCCACTGCGTTTTGGATCTTAACGGGCAAGGAATCACGTCACGACGGTAACCGCGAGGAAAAAGATAGGTGTTGTTCACTGCAGTAGAATACGTTTTTCATCATCAATATGTTCTTATATGCATAAACATTTAACAACGATCTGAACGTATAGCGTGGTGCAAAGATATAATTTGACAATTTTTCTGTTTAGTGATATGATTAATATAATACCATCGCCATTATTGTTATTAATTGACCGTTGTCATAAATATTTAAATAAATGAGCCTGCGCACATTTTATAGCCCTAGTTCACAAAGGACACGCATACTGTATATTCTAAATTAGGTATCGAAAAAGCACTGACCGCTTTTATAGCTAGGTGACCTTGAAGTAATATAGCTCAGGTAATGTGGGTCAGTTTTGGTTAGCGCTGACGCCATATGGACGTCTCTAATTGTTAGAATGCCTTTATTCAGAGCGGCTTGAATATAAATGAGCTTTCTGCAATAAAATGTCGCTATATTTTACAGTCTTACTACGATAATGGCACGCATATTGTCCAGATCCATGCACGCTGTTTACGTTAAAGGTGCATCACCAGAGGAAACAATTCAGTAATGGCTTTGTCGCTTTCGTTTTAAGAGTGTGTCTCAATGTGACAGTCTTTTTTGTGGCGGTCAACCAAGTACGGAAAACTTGATAAAACTATTGCTAAGGTAAGGTAGGACTGACACGTAAGTTGCCGTGATGTCACTGAGGGACCATCCGCATGATAGTTTTAAGCCAGGGGAAAGCTGAAACCCAAAGAGACAATTTATATCTAAGAAAATTAATTTAAGGGCTTGAATAGCGCGCGTCAGTAGACAATGTTGCCGAGTTAGGCATATTCGTTCAATACTGAATACTGAAACGCCACATATTTACACATTAACTAAAAAAGAATAATGATATTCATTTTTGTCTGTAATAATGCGATACTACATTTTAGAAACTAAATTACTGGACGGTACGGAAAAAATCGATGAAAGAAGCAGATGCCCATCGTTCTAAGAAAACGGCTGCAAGGGGGCGCTGTGTATCAGAAAAACATCTGATACTCAAGCCATTAAGGTACCGTTGAATTTCATTATCGTTATTCCATCGGTCCTGGTACTATGCCACCTGGTCTTTATCAATTTCATGTTCACGAACACAAATACCAGTTTTAGACTATCGACGATTCGTTGAAATCTGCCCAGGTGTCGTTCACCCGCAGCTGCAGCAGCAGCGGCACGCGAAACGCGAGAATTTGCCGCGCGTGCGTCTTATCTATTAACACGTTTGTTGTTTGGACAACATAGGGCTGCTTGCATATGCCACTAAGGTTAGAACAAATTTACCAGCAAAGAAGCTCAATCGAAAATTAGGATTTCCTCTAAAGAGAGACTTTCGTAAACATTTCGTTTGGATCGAAATCTGCTTGAAGAGAGATAACTTATAACGAGTCATAAATGAACGCATTATTACGTTAAAAATTTGCTATGACGTTTTATTAGTAGTATTTATTTTGTTATATCAGATATAACTGCATTTACATAAAGGATCTGTTCGCGTTAGAAAATTTATGGTTAGATTCAAATGTATCACTAGCACAATTGACTGTAAGCAATATGTTGAGCATCGAGAAACGGGCGGTTCCAATATTATACTGTCTGGCAAATTTATTAATTTGCTTCTTACGGATGTCTTTAGGACAAGATGTGCATTGAGGGACCACTTCTGAAACATCAGTATCGACGTAATACAATTATCGTAATTATTTTATATAAATTATGTCGAACTCTGACAAAATGTAGTCATTTTTTCCATCATATGTGTGCCACATTAAATAACTATATTAAAATAATATGTGTTGTCACTGGGTTACATTTCACTGATGTCCGAACAAGACGCTATCGTAATGGGCTGCACTTCTGAGCAGTCTTTGTCAAAAAAAAATCGTTTAAATTTGAATTACATTCGTAATCAAAGGAAACGACGCCCACGACTACCCAAAAGGATGCATACTACTTGTTTGACTTCTACCCCCATCGTTCCCATTGCGACAAAAAATACCTAATTCTCAAGGCAACAGTTACTTATCAATACATTTGATCATTACAGATCATCTCATAAGGAAATTTGAACATAGCGCAGAAATGAAAGCATAACGCACCTGTTAGGCATTCCTATTTTGAAGAAGGTAGCGACTTTGTAAGTAACATTTACTTATATAACGTTAGAGAAAGTAATGTGTGATTATCCACAGCCAAGGTTTATTCTATCTGGCAAAGTTTCTCCGCATTAGACACAGGACTAGTCCAAAAATAGGACAACCAAGAAGCCGTAGTTGAAAACGGCCAGGCGTTTTAGGGATTTCATTCGCGCAACAACAAGTGGCTAGGACTTGCATATTTCACCATGTTTCTCTCCTATAATATAAATAGGTCTTGCAAAGCAAGTACATAATATTAGAGTATATATAAGTGTACCTATGCGCACCCAATCAACAGTGTTCTATCGTCATGTTCGAATAGAGGTTCGGTCGTGTGTCTCAAACGGAATTGATAACGTCTGAGTCGAGTTGAGTTGTGACTG